TTCCTCGTATAGATCTTGTACATACTTTGTTAGATTTATACCTAAATATTTCATTTTTAGGGTGCTAATAGAAATGGTAATATGTTTTTCATTTCAAATTCCACTTGTTCATTGCTGGCATATAGGAAAGGGATTGATTTTTATTAACCATCTATCCTGCAACCTTGCTATAGTAATCACTTATCTATTTTTTTTGAAGAGAAAAAACTTTACAGATACAGTTAAAGGGCTCTTCTACTATATGTGTGTTTATCCATAAATAATATATTTTACTTTTGTATATTTAAAAATACATGCTTAAATGTTACCTTTTTCGTGTCTTTTTGAAACTTGATTTTATTACCATTGTTAGATTTTCAAGATTTATTCATGTTGGTACACTTGTCTCTAGTTCATTTTAACTGCTGTATGGTGTTCCATCATGTTTAGATTTCACTTGTATTTGTAAATGCATAAAATTTATCCATTCCTGAATTGATATTTATGTCAACTGCAGTTTTTTTGATATTATGAACAACATTCTTATATATTTCCTTGTTGCACTTTGTGAGAATGTGTCTAAATTATAATTTGCATTTCCCTGATTACTATAGAGTTTGAGATCCTTTGCAGTGGTCCCTAACCTTTTTGGCACCAGGGACTGGTTTCATGGAAGACAGTTTTTCCACGGAAGGAGTGGGGAAGGTGTAGCTCAGGCACTCAGGCTGTGATGCAAGCAATGGGGAATAGGTGTAAATACAGATGAAGCTTCTCTTGCTCACCTCCTGCTGTGCAGCCGGGTTCCTAAGTTTCGTGGAAGACAATTTTTCCATGGATGGGGATGTGGGGGGAGAGGGGCAGAGCTCAGGCAGTGATGCACGGCCCAGTTCCTAATAGGTCATGGACTGGTACTGCCCCAGACCGGTGCCTGGCCACGGTCTGGCGGTTGGGGACTGCAGCTTTATAGTATCTGTTTGGGTTTCCTCTTCTGTGAGTTGTCTTTTCCTATTAGAGTTTTAAAAATTGTTTATAGGAATTCTTTGCATCTTCTTGGTATTAGGCCATGTATTAGTTTATTTGGGGCTGCTATAAAGGCTGGGTAATTTATAAAGAAAAGAGACTTATTTTGGCTCACGGTTTTGCAAACTGTACAAGAAGCTTGGTGCCAGCGTCCGCTTCTGGTGAGGGCTGCAGGGAACTTCCAATCAAAGCAGAAGGCTAAGAGGAAGTAAGCATGTCACATGGTGAGAGAAGGAGCAAAGAGAGGGAGGAGGTGGTGCCAAGCTCTGGAGCTAATAAAGTGAGAACTCATTATCACTGGGAGGGCACCAAGCCATTCCTGAGGGATCTCCCTCAAGACCCAGACACCTCCCACCAGGCCCTACATTCCCGACATTCAACACTGGGGATTAAATTTCTACCTGAGATTTGGAGGGGCAAACATCCAAACCAAACATCCAAAAATTACCAGTTTTGTGCATTGCTAGAATCCTTATAATCTCAGGCAGTTCTGTCCTGGTGCCTCAGTGTACTGCAGTTAGGTCTGCTTCTGTTTTTACTCCTGTGCTCCCTTATTTCTTTTTTTGTTTTTTTTTTTTGAGACAGAGTCTCACTCTGTTGCCTGGGCTAGAGTGCCATGGTGTCAGCCTACCCCACAGCAACCTCAAACTCCTGGGCTCAAGAGATCCTTCTGCCTCAGCCTCCCAAGTAGCTGGGATTACAGACATGCGCCACCATGCCTGGCTAATTTTTTCTGTATATTTTTAGTTGTTCAGCTAATTTCTTTCTATTTATAGTAGAGATGGTGTCTTGCTCTTGCTCAGGCTGGTCTCGAACTCCTGACCTCAAGTGATCCTCCCGCCTCGGCCTCCCAGAGTACTAGGATTACAGGCATGAGCCACCATGCCCGGCCCTGTGCTCCCTCCCTTATTTTATTCTTACTTAGATACTTTTGAGTTTCAGTAAGGCAGAGGATCTCTTCAATTTTCCATCAGATGAATTTGATTTGTTATGGTTCATTTTCTGTTCTCTAAGGCAGGCAGTATAGAATAGTACTTAAGAGTGGGGGTTATGAGGTCTTAACTGCTTACTTTTGAATCTTAGCCCAATCACTTACTGTGTGATCCTGGCAAGTTTATTCTCTTGTACTTGGCTTTGTAATCTATAAAACCAATGAGAGTAGAAGAACTAATCTGATCGCCATTTTATATTTGAGGCACAGGGAGATTAGGTTAGAAATATGAACAAGTAGAAGAAACGTGGGTTATCTCCTTTAATTTTCCACTTTTGCTAGAGACATAGGTATAGAGAAATATTTCTTTAATATAAAAAACACAGTACGGGCTGGGCGTGGTAGCTCACGCCTGTAATCCTACCACTCCAGGAGGCCGAGGTGGGTGGATCACTGGAGGTCAGGAGTTCAAGACCAGCCTGAGCAAGAGCGAGACCCCGTCTCTACTAAAAATAGAAAGAAATTAGTTGGACAACTAAAAATATATAGAAAAAATTAGCCGGGCGTGGTGGCGCATGCTTGTAGTCCCAGCTACTCGAGAGGCTGAGGCAGAAGGATCGCTTAAGCCCAGGAGTTTGAGGTTGCTGTGAGCTAGGCTGATGCCACGGCACTCTAGCTGGGGCAACAGAATGAGACTCTGTCTCAAAAAAAAAAAAAAAACAGTAGGGAAAGCAGTGATAAGTCCCTGAGTCATGGCTTCAGTGTTGGGGAAACAATAGGAGTGAACTATGGAGAACTGAAGTACCCATGGCCTGTCTAAATCTATTATTATGGTGAAAAACCATTTATATTGTCATTAAAATAAAATAAAACAACAAAACCCCAAACCATTATTTACAGGACCTTAACTTGATGTTTTACAAAGTGGTAAATTTGTATGAGATATAGAATTTAGTTACCATCCCAGGCCAGAGAACTCATAGTTGGAATAGGCAAATCATAAACAGAGAACACTGTGGGCTACACTTAAGGGATCAATCTAGTGGACAATGAAATACTTTGGAGGAAGACATAGAACTTTATTTTGACTGACAGTGGAAGGAAGAAGGAAGTTAAGAAACAAAGGAACTCAAGGAGCAAAGGTAACTTCTTTCTAGGGGTGGGAGAGTAAGTATGATTTGGCTACCATATTTTCTGTTAATTTTTTTTATAAAAGATATATGTATGGCAAAAGTTAAGCAGTACAGAAATGTATAAAGTAAACATTAAAATATGAAAGTTTCCCAGTAGTGTGTGTACCTAAAATAATTGAAAGCAGGGACTCAAACAGATATTTGTGTACCCGTGTTCATAGCAACATTATTCACTATAGCCAACCCAAATGTCCCTCAGTGGATGAATGCATAAACAAAATATGCATACAAAAGTATATATACAACTGAATACTATTCAGCCTTAAAAAGGAATGAAATTCTGATACATGCTACAACGTGGATGAACCTCAAAAGACATTATGCTAAGTGAATAAGCCAGACCCAAAAGGAGAAATTGTATATGATTCTAGCTGGATGAGATACCTAGAGTAGATGAATTCATAGAGGCAGAAGGTATAATAGTGGTTACTAGGGGCTAAGAGGAGTTATTATTTATTGGGTATAGAGTTTCATTTTGGGATGATGAAAAATTCTGGAGATAGATAATGGTAATGGATGCACAACATTGTATATGCACTTAATGCCACTGAATTGTACACTTAAAATGGTTAAAATGGTAATTTTCATGTATGTATATTTTATTACACACTCACAAAAAAGTCTCCCAAACCCAGCCTAACAGTTATAGTGGGCACTATAACTCCTTTATAGCCATCTAGATATGGCGGTGCAAATACAAGCATAGATACGCATGTGTAAGAATACTCATTCAATGCCTGCCTACTCTTTGGAGCACCCATTTAGGTGCTGGGTATTTCACAGTGAACGAAACTGACAAGGTTCCTGCTGTCATGGAGCTTTTTAAAAATCAGTTTTATACAAGTGGATATTGGTATACATACTGTTTTATACCTCATTTTTCCCCTTAATGAAGACCTTTGGACATCTTTCTGCATTAGCTCTTAAAGATTTACCAATTTAATGGCTTCATAGTGTGCCCTTGTATGGATGTGCTATAATTTTTGGCTATTGTATTTTTAGTTGAATGGAAGAGGGGAGACAGAGGTACAGAGCTTGCTATGGTTTGCTGCTGTTGTAACTTATATTTTTTTTTATGAAAGTATAAGTTTGTTATAAAAAGTAAAAGTAAAAACCCAATTGGTCCTCTACTTCTTTTAATCCTATTTCCTAGAAATAATAACCATTGTTAAGTCTGTTCATCCTTCCAGATATTTTTAATGAATCTTGCGAATATAAAGAATATGTAGAATATATATATTCTCATTCTCTAGGATCTGGCTGATACAGTGTAATATTGCTCATTTAATTCAGTGTATTGAGAGTAATGCAGAGGTAAGAGCTGGGCTGAGCTTCATGAGAGCCGATTCTGTCTAGACCTCCTACTATAAAAGTCAGGTGATTCCTTAGTTGTCATTTGTACAGTGTCTCATAGTTAATGAGATCACATCAAGGAGATTGTTTTGAAAACTATTACTCTAGAAATATTACCTCAGCGTTCTTTGGTTGCAAGCAATAGAAATCAACTCAGGGTCTGTGAAACTAAAAAAAGGACTTTAGCTGAAGGATTCTAGGTAGCATATGAAGAAATATTTAAACAACTGGGCTGTGGAAAGACAGGAACAGGGTGGTTTTAGGGATCTCAATATCAGTGCTTATCCCTTTCAATTTCTATATTGAATCGTTGAAGATTCGATTCCTGGGAGAGAGCGAGTGGCCTAGAGGTCATGTGCATACTTACTGATGGGGGTAGAATCCTGGCTTTACGTGCCCCATCAGAGTCTTACGGAGTTGGGGAGGTGCAGTTTTGGAAAGGATGGGATTTGAGGCCCGCAAAACCAAGGGTCGGCCTTGCAACATTAGCTGTTTTAACCCTAGATTCTTACTCCCTTCTTAAGGAGGAGATGACCGCCGGGTTCTGCTATGGCATATGGAACAAGCCATCCACTCCAGGGTCAAGCCCATACAGCTGAAAGGAGAGCATCATTCCAACATTTTTTGCCTGGCTTTCAACAGTGGGAACACCAAAGTGTTCTCTGGAGGTGAGAAAGGAGATACTACCTTGGGAAATTCACTGTGGTTGGGATTTTAGAGAAAGAAGTGCTAAAATAACTTCTTATTTTTCTTTCTGTATCTCAATGAGTTATGGAAGTCCTAGTTTCCCATAGCTAGGAATTGGGAAATGTAGTACTGCATTATATCAGTACTATGTATTTGGGTAGTGTCTGTCTGTCTGTCTTTTTTCTGCTTCCTTCCTCCCTCCCTCCCTCCCTCTGTCCCTTGGTAATGGCTTCCATCAACCACACCCCTTCTGACCACCAAATTTCTAGCCCTTGCCTCTTTTTTGAGCTGCAGATTTCCCCACTGGATATCTACTTGTGTTCCAAAAGCAATTTAAATACAACAGATATGAAACTAACATTATTAGTCTTTCCCAGCCCCAAAATTTCCTCTTTTTCTGCTGGATTTCCTTTCTCAGGTATTATTAACATTCCTCCAATTATATAAACTATTAGGTGTAACTTTAAGAAACTTTAAGACATTTAATCATTTTCAGCTTACAAAAATTGTAATCTCACATGTTTCATTCTAATAATTATCTTGAAGTCATCCTCAAACCTGCCTTTCTTTCATTTACACATCTAGTCAGACATCAGGTCCTGTCAGATCTGCCTTGAAAGCTTCTCATATTCATCCTTTAGTTTTTGTTCTCTTTCTATACCCACTGCTCAGCATCAGGTCCTCACCTTTGGCCTGGATTATTGCAGTGGCCCTCTGTGATTTCTGCTACCAGTCTCTAACCCCTCCTTTGAATTCATTGCTTATACAAGTTTTCTTTTTAAACATAAAGGTTTGACCATGTGAACCTTTGACCTTATAGTGCTCACAGAATAAAGTCTAAACCTTAATCTATCTGTGTGGCCTCATTTCCCTCCCCTGCTAGCCCATTAAACTACTTGCCACCTTCAGGTGTGCACTGCACTGTACTATTGCCCTCTGCCTTTTGCTCATGCTGTTCTTTCTCTTTGATTGTCCAGTCCCCAGCAATTCCTCTATGTCTTTCATTGGTAAGAGTTTTGAATTATTTGAGTTTCTCTTCATCTGTCTCCATCTTCCATGTACTTTCATCCCACTCATGAAGGAAATAATTGTTCCCATAGCTAGACCATATCGCTACAACAAGACAACCCCTCTTGTTGCTATCAGTTGTTCGTGCCTGGGCAGAATGTTGTTATTCTCATATACTCAGCATCTAGCACTGTGCCTGATACCTAGAGACATTAGTATGGGTTTCTTGATTTCATCGGTTTGCACTTACAATAGAATTTATAGCCAGGGCTTTATTTAAGGTGCTCTGGGCCACATCTTTTCTGCTACTTTTGCTTTCTATTTATGAGATTGTTGGTTGTGCATTTCAGCATAAATTGAGCCATTTTTTACTTTTTGTCTTTTCATATTTAGATTTTTATTTTTTGGCTATATAAACCACTTGAAGGTAGGACTACACAAATCATGAATATAGTATTTTTAGATACCTTGGTAGAATAAAGAAAAATGCAAGATAGAAACTTTCTCATTGTTTAGAATCACACAGTCCTCAAATTTTAATGCTTTGTAAGATGATGAGGATAGGAATAATAGCAAACATTTATTGGGGGTTTATTAAGTGCTCAGCTGTATTCTCAATGCTTTTACAGACGTACTGTTATCTTCACAATAATAACCCTATGAAGTAGGTACAGTTATTATCCCTATTTTATAGGTAAAATCCTGAGGCATTGAAATGTTAGAGATAATGAGTGTTTTGCTGAGGGGGGAAAGCTAGCTTGGATGAGTGAATTGTTTTGCCCATGATCATTTACTCTTTTCCTTAATGGCCAAAGTGTTTTACATCATCCACTGGATAATACATTTTGGGAACCATTACTGTGTTATACCTCATTGCTGTTAGGTTTTTAAAATTCTCTGTAAGAATGTCCTTTCCTTCTTAAATTATTTTTATAAACTTTTTTTCTAGTTAACATTCCTAATTTGTATTAACATTGACTTTGTTCGTGTTTTTTCCCTGAAAACTTTTAAATACTAAATTGTAATGTGGACAGGGACCACCTTGTAGGAATTATCAAATGTCTGATTTTTTTTCTTTACAGGAAATGATGAGCAAGTTATCCTCCATGATGTTGAAAGGTAAATAGATTGTTGATGTGTGAAGATGATTGACTCTTTTTCATATTAAGAGAGGCAAATATCTCTTTAGACCAAAATAGTTTTTTTTTTTTTTTTGAGGAAGATAGTGTGAAACCAGCTATCCTTTTCTAAAAAAGACTCCTGTCAAAGTTTTGAAATAAAGTTTTGATTTATTAAAGAAAAAAGGATTTGCAAAGTTTGTATGAAAGGATAGTTTTTAGGTGAAAATTTAAAAGGAGAGGTTGGAAGAGAAGGGAGTATAATATGTAATTATAGTAATAATAGCTAATATTTATTGAGTTCTTACTATTTGCTGGGCACCATTCTAAGTGCTCTATGTGTATTAATTCATTTAACCCTCACAATCATTTGAAATGGAGGTGCAGAGGTGTTAGGTCACGTGGCGCTAGGATCTGAACTTAGGCAGCCTGGCATCAGAGTCATGCTGTTAATCACCATGCCAGATTGCTAGGAGATCCCTCTTCCACCCCTGCTGGCATCAGATTTGGCTGCTTTAAAGCTTTCCCTTGCTTTTTGGACATCAAGCACACCACTCCCAAATTTGCATACAAGCAGATGCATTCTGTAATAAACAAAAACACAAAACTCAGCTATTGAGTCACTTTTAAATATGCTTATTTAGTATAAAAATTATCATGACATCTGTAAAAACTCTCTTTAATAGTACTCTTTTTTTTTTAAACCTGAAAATTGAATACCTACCTTTTAGGAAATATAATATCCTTTGGGTTTAGCTGAGTTGACTTCTAGAAATGAAAGAGACTGTACCCTAGATACTGGAGGGTTGGGACTCTGCACTGTGTTTGTGTGTATGTGTGTGCCTCTTTCTTGCTCTCTGTCTCTCAGCAGTGAGACCCTGGACGTGTTTGCTCATGAAGATGCAGTATATGGCTTGTCGGTAAGCCCAGTGAATGACAACATTTTTGCCAGTTCCTCAGATGATGGCCGGGTTCTTATTTGGGACATCCGAGAGTCTCCCCATGGAGGTAGGGTCACTGTGCAAAAAGCTGTTGGATTGTGTTGAACAGGTTGATGACAGGTTCATTGCACATCCAATTTATGACCTGAGTATCTAGGTGCAAGTGACATTAAGGGAGAGGAAATGTGAAATTCTCACATGGCATAAGATGCACATCTTTGGAGGTCTTATCCTACTCCTAAGTAGTCAGAAGTGAGGCATCTTTGCAAACCTTTCTCTACCCATCTGTGAATCTCCACAAACTCTTGCACCTTGATGTTTAATGGCCCCAAGGAGCAAAAGGTATGGTGCCTCACTGTGAAGGGTAGACACCAAGGGCCAGCTCTGTGTGTGCTGCTGACATGCACATATTCTTATTTCTTTACAGAGAATGGGAGTGCTATGCACTTTCTTGCATCCTAGCTTCAGGCTTGTTACTTTGTTGAAAGAACCACAGAGCTTCACCTTATCTATGTGTAAGATCTTAAAATGATGGCAGATATACTCTGTTTAAAGGAAATTGTCAGCCAGGCATGGTGGCTCATGCCTGTAATCATAGCACTTTGGGAGGCCAAGGCAGGAGGATCACTTTAGGCCAGGAGTTTGAGACCAGCCTGGGCAACATAGCGAGACTCTGTCTCTGCAAAAATAATTAAAAAAAAATTAGCTGAGCATGATGGCGCACACCTGTATTTCCAGCTATTTGGGAGGCTGAGGCAGAAGGGTTGCTTGAGCCCAGGAGGAGTTCAAGGCTGCAGTGAGCTGTGATCCCACTACTGCCCTCCAGCCTGGGTAACAGAGTGAGACCCTCTCTCTAAAAAATTAAAATAAAGGGAATTGTGTGAGTGCGTCTTCCAAATGTGCCCTTTGAGTCTCTGACATGTAAAGTGAAGAACTTGTTTTGTTGACTTTCTCCAAAGTTCTTCAGGAAATGCATCTCTTCAGCTCATTTCCTGCAGAGAGATTTCTGTCTATAACTCTGCCTGTCTTCAAAAGACCCGTTCCTCCAGCATCACCGTCAGTGCCACTGTCACACCCACCCTGGTCTTAGTGCACTTCTGTAATGATCACACCTGTGTACATGCAGTTATTATCCTGACTGCTTTGTCTCACAGAATCTGGGTCTTCTTTTTTTTCTATATTCCAAGCATTTAATGTATTGGGCTTTGCTCATTTTTGAGTTTCAGGCTATAAGAAAAGCTTGTTCTTAGGGTCAGACAGGTAAGGTAGCAGCAAGCAGCAGCTGTGGATGAGTCCCATGTGCTTGGTAGGTGAGATTCACCTTTGTCTGAACTGCCTGATGACTGAGATAACAGTGCTTCACTTGCCCTGAGGCCTGTGAAGTACTGCGTATGGAAGTCATAGGCTGAGAAGTGCTTTGTGTATTACTCTAACGGGTTCCATGGGAGTCTGTCCTCCTAGGCAACTAAGTGATTTCTTCCTCACCTGGAGCCTGCTAATTGATGCAAAGGGATGCAGAGTTTTTAGGTGAAGTTGATTAGGAGTTGGTTGGGTGCAAGAGAAGTTGAAGTTTTAAGTACCTTTCTTTTTTTAAAAAAAAAAATACTCTAATATTGAAGTAAAATCATAAAATTCTAGACTGAGGCCACTTTATTTTCAATTTAGGGAACATTGTGAACCAGAAGGGAAAACTACATTATTGTTTTGCCTTAATTTTTTTCATTGTTCTTCTTTGTCTTAATTAAATCTGTGTGCAGTTTTAAAACTTTTAATTTCTAAAACTAATAAATTTGGATTAAAGGTATAACAGTCCTACCAGAATTGGTTGTGAATTTTTTCAGCTCATGTGAAATTCAGTTTTACTTACCGTCAAACATTTTTAGTAACCATTTTCATTTTGTCACAGGATTTAAATAGATGCTATATGTATTTCTGAGTACTATAGCTTAAAATGTGGTTAAATGTGTTTAGTTGCCATATATGGGACTCATGGGGACTTTGTGAGTAGAGGTGACTGGTGGGATGATGTACTACGTTGGGTTCCAGGCCATGGGAGTGCTCATTAAAGAGTGTGCTCCTACTCAAATCCACACTTCTGTCTGTCTCCCTGCCCCTGGCCCAAAGGTGCCTGGAATGAACTGATCGTAATTTCTCTTTTCACAGAGCCCTTCTGCCTGGCAAACTATCCATCGGCCTTTCATAGTGTCATGTTTAACCCTGTGGAGCCCAGGTTATTGGCCACAGCCAATTCAAAGGAAGGAGTGGGACTCTGGGATATTCGAAAACCTCAGAGGTGAGCCCCCTTTATTGATAAGGTGTTAAAACTTTCCTCCGCCTCATTTCTCAGGTAATGTGATCAGCCAGCAAGTGTCGTGAGGACCTGTTTGGCAGTTTTCTCAGTTGAGCATTTCCTAATATGTACTGATACTTCTGAAGCCACGAGAGCCTGTTCCCGAGGAGCAGGCAGTGTGAGAAATCCACACTTCTAGCTGCGGATGCATCATAAATGGGAATCTGAACTCTACACAGGGTCAGTTCTGGGCAATTATATGAAGTAGTGAGACTTCCCTTTAGTATTGTGCTCTCTCTTTAGGCCCAGTGTTCCCCAGATATGCAGGAACTCTTGCTGGGGGAAAAGAGATTTGCCAAACCCATTGCTGCTGAGACAGGGGTTCTTAAATGGGCTTCAGGAGAACTGTGAACTCCCAAAATTATATGGAAATTACATATTGTGTATTCATTTAAGTGCATTTTTCTGAGAAGGAAGTTTGCTTTTCCCAGTTTCTCAAAAGGTCCAGTGACCACAAGAGCAAAAGATGCAGAGCCAGTGCCCACGGTGTTAGGGACCTCTATGTATTTCTTCTTCTGTTCACCTTATTATAAGAGTACACTCAGGACAATCCTTAACTAATGGTACAAATCACTAATGGGAGAGTTTCAGGCATCATTAAAGGATGCGGAGATGGGGGCGACTAGGAGGTTCTTTTATGTTCCCTAAATCCCATGGGATAGGGACAACCTTTTATGGCACCTGTGCATAAAGCTGGCCTTGCTTTATAAAAAATTTACATGTACTGTCAACCAGCTCCTTTGGAAATTCTACATGGTAGTAATTTCCCACTTCTTAAAGCTATATTGCAAAAGAATATCATGGAAAGTAAGCAAGGTTATAATTTATTTCATAGGCCTCAGATGAAAGGGGTAGTAAAGTACAGAGGATTATCTTCGTTGATGATATCTAGTCCTAGGTGATTCTTTCCATGGGGCAGTAAGAGGGGGATGGGACTATTGTAGCAGATCTTTGTAGCCTAGAGGGGTGTCCTTGGTGTTGAGCAGGGCTCCCTGAGATTTATCCTGCCCTCTCTATTGCATGGTTCTTGCTTTTCCAGGCTATTGAAATGTGTGTAGTGGCAGGACTCCTAATGTGCCTTTACACTGTGTGCTTAAGGAGGCTTGCTGCCTGCCAGGAAGACAGTCTCCTGTGTTCAGTTGTGGTGTCTGCCGCTTCAGGCTCTTTAGGAATAACTGTTCTGCCTCATCCATATTATAGAAGGCAGAACAACTTTTTGACAGGCTATCAACTTCTTTTTTCAATTAACAATATCTTGGGCCAGGTGCAGTGGCTCATGCCTGTAATCCTAGCACTCTGAGAGGCTGAGGCCGGAGGATCGCTTGAGCTCAGGAGTTCCAGAACAACCTGAGCAAGAGAGAGACCCCATCTTTACTAAAAATAGAAAAAATTAGCCAGGCATGATGGCATACTCCTGCAGTTCTAGCTACTCAGGAGACTGAGGCAAGAGGATCACTTGAGCCTAGGAGTTTGAGGTTGCTGTGAGCTAGGCTGATGCCACGGCACTCTAGCCCAGGACACAGAGCAAGACTGTCTCAAAAAAAAGTCTTGGAGCTCGTTTCATGTCAACACTTACAGACCTAGCTCATTCTTTTAATGACTGTATGGTATTCCCATTTATACGATGTACCAAACAACCAGGATTTCTTGTTTCTAGTTTTTGTCATTAGAAACAATATTGCATTAAACCTGATTGCACATCTGTCTTGGCCTACTTTTGCAGAAATATCTGTACTGAATTGCTGCATCAAAGGATATGTGTTTTTAAATTTTTGATAAAAATTTTTGAATTGTACCCTCACCACCAAAGGCTGTGCTGACTTACAGATCTACCAACTATGTATGAGACTGCATGTTTCTCTAGACCCTTCTCAACACTTAAACTATTGCTAGTCTTAGAGGGGAAAATGACATCTTGTTTTGATTTCTTCTTTGATTATGGGTAAGGTTATATTATTTCTTTGGTAACCTATAGTTTTCAAAGCCCATATGGGAGAAAAGTCATCTATTAATAATAAGGCTAATTGGCAATCTTTACTGATTTCTTTCTTGGAATAAAAGAAGGAGCACAGTGCCATGGGGATTAGGATGTTTTTGCATTTATTTAAACTCTTCTAAAGTTCTGTGAGGTTTTATGGGTATCACGCAGAAAAGGGGCATGAAATATCCTTGGAATACTTCTTAACTTCACATCCGCTGGAATTTGGGGATTAAATTACAGATCTTTCCTGTTTGAATTCCCATAGTACAAATTGGTGTGGGGGAGGAAGAGAGGGCCCTTCTTCTTTTTCATGTAGGATTAATTATGCAGCATTGCAATAGGTAATTTGTCTCATGAGCACAGCTGCCTAGAAACCCCAACTCAGATCTTGGGACAAATCTGAATCCCTTGGGAGGACAAGCCTGCAATAGGATAGATCTATTTCAGGAACACTTAAAGTCTAGGGAGAGATTTTTAGGGGATTTGTGAACCCCTTATAATTGCAGGTGAAATTGCGTGTGCTTGTGTATATGAACAAGCACACATGTAACATTTTTTTCTAGGTACGGGAGAGAGCTTTTACTGGGCTATCATAGGAGCCTTGACCCCCAAAAGATAAGAATTGCTCAATGTTCTGAAGATTGTAGGTTTAGAGCCTATTGTGGTTCCTTAGCAAGCTTTTAAATGACTTCCAGCTTGCAATAGCATGGGCAGGAGGGTGAATTCAGGGCCTACTCAGAAAGGAGGCTACTAGCCTCCTTAGAAACACAATCTCCTTGAAGCAATGAGGGGGGATCACACTGAACACCCTTTCCTTCCTGGTTTAACCTGTGGGTATTTAGTGTTTGAATGATTTCTCTAGCCTACTCTATGCCTGTGCTGTACCTCTCTACTTGGTGGCCTGTAAGTGTGTGAGCAGTCACTTTTGTCCTACTGCTGCCCCGATATAAGCTGATTAGAGGGCTGGCTGGCAGAATAAAATGTCAGCTCTACAAAGGACTTTAGTTATAATCTGAGCTGACTTCCTCATTGTGTGGATTAAGAAACTAGCCCAGCAAGGTAAGGGGAGGTGGAAGAACTTGATAGTTTAGAGTGTAGGCTCATACTTCCTGTGTTTAAGTCCAGGCAATACACCATTTGTTGTTGTTGTTCTGAGGGGAACATTGAAATAAACTTTAATCTAGTTTTTTTTTTTTTAATTTTTTTGTAGAGACAGGGTCTCACTATGTTCCCCAGGCTGGTCTCAGACACCTGGCCTCAAATGGTCCTCCTGCCTTGGCCTCCCAAAGTGTTGGGATTACAGGCATGAGCCAGACCTGGCTGGGCAGTACACCTTAATAGCCATGTGATATTGAGCAAGTTAATTTACCTCTTAGTATATGATGATGACAATTATATGAATAATTACCTTATTTAATCCTATGACAACCCTATCAGGCAGGTTCTGTTATTCTTATTTTAATGATAAGGAAATCAAGGTCCAGAGAGGTGAAATAACGTGTGCGTGTGTGTATACATATATATCATCCTTCCCATCCCCCCTTTTTCTAAATCAAATTGGGTCCCTGCACATTCTAGTTTTCTTTCATCTATGCCTCTGTGCAATAGAAATTTTTCAGAACTCCTCTCAAATTTTTCTCATACAGACCTCTCAAACTCTGAACTCTGAAGTTCTTTAGACTTTCTATCACTAAAAATGAAACCCCTTTTCACTCTCTCATGGCCCAGCCCCTGTCTACATGCTAGCTGTCTAAGTTTCTTGCCTTTTGTAACCCTGGAAATCTGCATATGCTATTTATTTTGCTACGAAACTTTAGAACAGGTGGTAAACTATCTGCCTATAGGTCATATTCAACCCACAGAGTTATTTTGTTTAGCGTATATGATATTCTAGAGTTTGGAAAATTGCAAAGAAAAATTGCAATTTCTAACATCTCTTGAAAACGTAAAAAGATCTGATATTCTTGCACCTTTGTTCTCATATAGCAACAGTCAGCCAAAACTGAGTGATAGGTTTCCCTTTAAAATTTTGTGGTACGTTAAGGATCTCACCACTTCTTGATGTCTTAATCCAGACATAACCCCTCATTTACATTACTTGCCTAGCCCTGTGGACATTAGAATTGGAAAGGTCTGCTTTAGGGGTTTTAGTGGTGATAAGTGGGCCTTAGGGAGGAGAAACTTGAACATAAGAGACTGGATAAGAGAGAAAACATCACATATACAAGTATTGCATATTTGGACAAGGTTTTATTTATTTTGTTTAGATTATTTCTGCTGAGGTCTTTTTACAACCATCCTCCTTTGTCATTGTCAATGTCCCAGTTATGTCTTACTTGGGCTATTGCAGTGGCCTCTGAACAGTTTTCAGAACTGAGATCTAATGTCTGGAGAATTCAGGAAAAGCAGAGTTTCCCTGCTTTCACTCTGCTTGTCTCACCTTTTTCCTTGCCTGTTTTAGCTGTCTGCTTACTCACCACCTTTCTCTTGTCTAATCTCTTTAGTTCCTGTCAGGAATTATTAGTTCTGTGACAGCTAACAGTGTCTTGCTTTGACAAGAATAATAAAGAGTAGTTCTTTCCCACTCAGAAATAAAACTGGGATAAGCCAGGAATCCCTATAAAGATTTACCTTATAAGATGGTGCTTTTATGTGTTGTGTAAAGGACACATCTGAAAACACAAATTCCTACTATCAGAGGAAATTGCTCTTAGGACCTCATCTGGCTTTGCGGACCTTTAGGTTAAATGTCTGTTCTTTGGGGCCTGTTCCAATCCTACTTCTATAGAAACCAAATTAAATGAAACTCCTTGTCTTCAGAACAAGCCAGAAAATCTCTGCCATATTGCATTTGAGGGTTGCTCAAATATATTATGGGAAAATAGAGCCCAGGGGTTCAACATTCCTGCTCATTTTAAAAATTGAATTTTTTATCTTTTACTTACTGATTTGCAGTTCTTTA